TATCCGGTTTAACTTTCATTAACGCATTATGCGTTATCACGAACAATACCAACCCGTAAGATTATTCCCCAGATGATGCGCATTTAATGCTCTATCAGCACAAATATATATGCAAGTTTGATGGTTAATCCTACGTAGTTGGAAAAGCACTTGGTACTAATTATATGGAAAATTGAATTTCGGTGAAATCAGCTTGTTTTCACGTATGTACAATAGCTTGTAATAATGTTGTTTATATTGTTTATAGTGTAGTGAACACTATAAAGAAAAGCTGTCATAAACACGAAGCTCAATAAAGGACACATAATTGAATTTGTTTTAACTCAAATTTTTATGTTAATTTAATGTAAGATGAATAATGTAAGATGTTAGGTTATTAATACAAGTGTTATGTAAAAAGAAATATAGAAGATAATAAATTTCCAAGTAAACTGTGGAAGACTATTTTTTTAAATAAAATTAACATTTTTGATATATTAAATTAATGTATTTTATGCATCTATCTTAGAATTTACATTTTAAAACACATAATTTTTACTTCATCACTTACTCATAAATTATATTATTTTGATCTTAAAAAATATTGAATAGCATTTTAACACGAAATATTTAAATAGCATAATCACATACATCAATTATGTTAAATTAACACTCGAATGTATTACAAATTCATAAAATTTTAACAAAGATTTGAATGGACCATTTTCAATAAAATATTTTTACTGTGTAATTTTGAGTTATGATGTATAAAAAAAATATATAATTTATGTTTACAAAGAACTTTTACATCGGTTCAAAAAATATTCATTATTGAATTTCACATCTTTTGTTCATCACGTACATTATAAACTATTTATATGTGAAACCCAACTCATTCCATTGAGATTTAATTCCATATAATTCCATATAATTACTTAGGAGAGTTTTAATGTAAAATTTAACATACTTCATATATTCCAAATGGTTCATTGAAATTTTTGTATTACTTTAGCATTAGATGAATACGTTAGAAATTAAAACAAGTATTAAATTAACACAAAAAAATATAACACTGAAATTTGTACGCAAATTGTAAAGACACATTTCTTTAAAAAATTAACATTTATAATGTATTAAATTTTATTCGTTTATCTTAGCATTTCCGTTTTAAAATAATTATGTTTATGTTAATTGTTCGCCATTCCTAAATTGTGTTATTTTAACACTAAGAAATGTTGAATACGAATTTAGAAAATTCAAATAACAAAAAATTAACAAGCAATTTCAACGCAAATACAAAATTTGTTTACCATGTGTCTCAGATTAATCGTTTTCGACTATGAAATTTTTAATTAACCTGAAGCCTTCCTATGTAATAATTGATTCACGATTATCACAATTTTCTAAGCTTCAACGTTAAATATTTAGGTAATGGAATTTCAGGCTAGCATCTCAAAGCGACAAGCTAATAAAGGAATCTGTACAAGAGTTCTCCATTCTAATCGGTCACTCCTCATGTTAAATGCCGTCGGCATCGAAGCCTTTTGTATCGATAAATGCGGACGCGCCTCGTATAACGAGCCTGTAACAAATCCGACGACGTGTGCCAACGTGTAAACACACTCCGCAACACTCGTAGCCACAATCCCTTCGTCCTCGCGCTCAGTGGGGCATCGCCATCGGGATGATCGCGCAATAAAACACTGGCATAATATTTCGCCCGGCTGGTTGAACACCGCAAATACACTCTAGGACCACATGTCGACCCTATTTCGCGCGGGGTGAGAAGAGACGAGGTGGGAAGGGATGAGAAAGGGAGAGACGCGTATGCCAGGGCGTTAGCGAGGGTGAGATCGGCGAGCAACCCCCGCGAGGTTCCATCGTGTGCTGCGGGGGATACCCGCGGGCCTCACGTTCCCCTTCGCGGATTAGCCTCGCTACATTTCGTCCCTTCTGTCGATGCGTATGTCCCGTCATTATGCCTCTAACTCTCTGCAAACGCAAAACCAATGGCACCGCCACCCACAACGAATTGACGAATTTTTCGGAGTATGCCGAAGATATAGCGATTGTTTTCTCAAGCTATCAAGTATTGTGATAAAATTACTTGGTTATTTAATTATTTTTTGCTATTGATTATTTTGATAGCTTATTTATGTTGAAATATTTATTGTTTTCTAAAACTTTATTCTTAATTGGTACTTAATTTTTCGCTGAATCTCTTTAATTCTCCGGAGCTGATGCTGATCAAATAAAATATAATACATTTGCCTGAATCTAATGTAAGACTTATTTTTATTAATTGAAAGCATTAATGATGTCAAGGAACTAAAATAGCATAAAAAAGAATTAATAATAAGTACATTTTAATGAGAATAATTTAAATTTGCAAGCGTAATATAAAGAAATTGAATTGACATTTTTGATAAAGATATGTATAACTGGATCTAATAGATCCATCAGAAAGTTAAGACAAAAAAAGAAATACATATCTTCGCTTGTTTTTAGATTTTTTGACGGAGAAGTATACGCTTTATGCTACATATTGCATTAATATAATCACATATAATAACAGAAAAAATATCTATATTATACAACAGCCTTGACTAAAAAAAAAAAATATTAGGCATCTTATTAACTATTATTTAAAGTTTCAACTCAAAAATTGATTTGTGACATTTATTGTAAATTATCCTTTGTTTCAAGAATCTTTTAAACTTATATAGAGCTGGAAACAATGTAGGTAAAAGAATTCTAAATAAATTTAAAAAACATAAGTACCTAATATTTTTAGCCAAAGCTATACATAAATGATAATTTAATCGTTCGTAATATATTTCAGCTATTTAAAAATATTAAAAATTTGCTAAATTAAAAGACGAGCAAATAATAAAATTCTTTAAAATTGCCCATTGAAGGGCGCTTGATTTAATTGATTTTGAGAAGTATCAAGAGTGTCTGCTTTTATAGGGAGCACACTAGTACGGACAGCTAACACGATTTCGTATAACGTTAAAAGTATATTCTGTAGGAGTACGTTTAAACGTGTATGCAGAGAAGGGAGAAAAGGCTGACTGCATCCTGCGCGTCGTTTTCGCCGGAGGTCAGACGGCCGAAACGAGAATTGCTCGAATTTTGTTAAGTTTGGCAGCAATTACTTTTGATACCCGACACGCGGCGGTAATTGCGTTGGGCCAAGCAGAACGACGGGAGAGGGGTAATAATTCGCTAATATCAATTTCAAATTTCAATTAGTATCATCTCTACGTCCGCCTCTGCTCTTCTGCCTCCTCCCTCCCTTCTCTCTCTCTCTCTCGCTCTCTCTCTCTCGCTCTCTCTCTCTCTCGATCTTTCTCTCTGTCCTTCTCTATTCGCGGACCCCACAGGAACACGCCATGATCTAAAATTCAATTTGTCCCTTCGTACCGGAGAGCCGCAAAGAGAGGAGGAGAGACATAGTGCAGTAGCAGGCGGATAAAGGGAGAAGCGAGAGATGAAGGGGAGACATCATGATGGAGTGAGCGAGATAAACAGTCGCGCAGAGATAACGGGAGGGGGCCAACAGCAAGCGCGGGTGGCCGGGGGAGGTAGGTGGTCGCTGGTGATGAGGGGGACCGAAGGGGTATAGTTAGTGTACACCGGTTCTCTAAAGCCACTCGCGTGCACGCCGTTATATAACGAGAGAGAAACGGCGGGGGCCCCGTAGGCACGCGCATGCGCGACATGCCGACCCATTATAAATTGATAACTCCGCCGTTTATTAAGTTCCACGACCGATGCCTGCTTAGGCAAAGAGCCCTCTACGCGTCGCGCCGCCTCTCTCTCTCTCTCTCTCTCTCTCTCTCTCTCTCATCCCGCGTGCACCAGCTCCTCTCTCGCCGATACATACATTATTTATTTACGCGAGTTTACAATCCCTCTAATGGGGATTGGCGTAATCGGCCACCCATCCGTTCCCCTCCGCGTCCTCGCCCTCTCCAACTCCCCCCCCCCCGCACTCCCTTGTATAACCGCCCACCCCGCTGCAGCACGCCGCTGTCGCGCTCCCTCTTAATCATGTTTCACCCCGCTTTCGAAAATCCGCGCGTTGCACGGCGAAATCGGAAGTGGCTTCAATGCTCCGTTTTCCAAAGGCCAATACGCGATATCCCTGTATGTGCACAACAACGGGTCCAGAAAAATCTGACCGGATGGAGGGTTGGTCATGCCATAAGGCGATTAGAGATATATCTATTATTTAATTTCACGAAAGTTTGTCGAACTTTTCGCAATCGTGACATGATAGAAATCTTATTTCTTCGACGATATAAATTACAAATTATTGATTTTTTTTTTCTTCATATAGTTATAAATATCTTAATAAACTGTTGAAGATACTCGTATAGAGCTTTAATCTTGACGCACCGAGAGAAGTGTTTCGTACTCATGACAATAATTGCATGATGAAATAACAGATTAGAATCTCTATTTTTATGGTTATTATACTCTAATTGATAATTATTTTTGGTGCCAACTATATGCAGCCTTAAGGTTAAAAATATTAGGCACCTTATTAACCATTATATAAAAATTGATCTATAACATTCATTATAAATTGTTTCAAGAACCTTTTAAACTTATTTATAATGATGGTAACAAATAGGTAACGATTCAGATAAAAGAATTCCAAATAAATATAAAAATATACAGACCATGATTGTACTCCTTTTGGTATGTCGAATTGTAAATGTAATTATTAATATTTCTAACATTATAGCATGATAACTGTAAAAATGGACCTTCTAGCAATAATTATTTTATCACGCAGTCATAAACAAATACGAAACTTTTTCCTCTCATTGTCAATTATATATAATAATTTATTAAAACGATAAGCAAAAGATACTTATCTCCAAGCACATTTCCACCCAAAGCCCTGCAATTGTGAAAAAAAATTCGATCGGAACAATCTTTCTCTCTCTCTCTTTTTTTTTACTGCAGAAGAGATCATGAAATCAACTGACACTGACGTGTGCTTGCAGATTGGCGCGGTCCACGCCCACCAGCCGAACAATAACCACCACCAGCAACAGCAGCAACAGCAACAACAGTCGAGTCAACCGCAGGTGCCGGGTGCTGGCGCGGGAGGGGCCGGCGGGCCGGGGGGCGGCGTGGCCAGGGCCGGAGGCATGTTCTGCTACCACTGCCCCCCGGGCCTCCCAGCGCCGCGATTACCGCCATCCCTGGAGTATCCCTTCGCCCCTACTCACCCCTGTAAGTAAAAATTTGATTCCCCCCGCCCTGCGGGCGCGCACGCACACGATATGTATATTTTTTTTATCTTCCTTTTTCGCCCCCTCGTCGACTTTCGATCGCGTCTCGATTGGCGAAAGGCGTGCCATGCTAAATCGCTATAAAATGTTACGAGGACATTTTTAGATTTATGCGTGGCTATTCTCGATGAGAAAAAGGAAAAGGGGGATAGTTTTGAACAGCAATCTTTCCCACTGAAAATTCCTGTGAAACTTCTGGAAAACTTTAATGAAGGAATAGATAGTAAACGAAAGGAAATATTATATTCCTGATGCTATCACTTCTTTGTTACAAAGACGTAACTCAAAAGTTGTCATTTTGAATTGCTTGTAGAAAATGAACGGAATCAAAAAAAAAAAATAAGAGAGAACGTAGGCTGCAAAAAAACGTACACATTAATTTTACTATTATATAATCGATTATTATACCAAAATTATATTTCAAAATTAATAGTGTAATATTTTTATTATTCAACATTGAAATTCATTTTCTGGAAAACTTTGCTTTTTTGAGTTATGTCATTGTTGTAGCAAATAAGCCATATGTACATAAATTCTAGATATATAAATATAATCAATCTTGTTATTTTTTCACCTTCAAATTTCAAATTGTGAATTCCTTAAGATGTATATATATATATATAAATATAATTATTTCTTGAGAGAAATCCTACGAGACAATTTTGACAAAAGGAACGACGTGAAGAAAGAAAATTCCTGAAAAAGGAGAAAAACACGAAGAAAACAAAAGATGAGGGGGACAGACTGATTGTACTGGCACTTGCTCTAGCGGAACACATCGATGAAGTTACATTACCGACTAGACCGAGTTACGCAAAGTGGACGCTACAAACTGGACGGCCGCTAAACTTAATTTGCACTTCGAGCCAACTTCCAGTTAAACCGCGTCCCGTCGGCAGTCGAGTCGAGTCGCTACTCAGAACTTTGACGGCAGTTTGCCTATTCACTGATCGTTTTCCAAGTCGCGTCCCATTCCAGATGACGAATTTCAGCCTGGCGTGATCTGTCAAGCCGCGACAATCACTCTAACGTATCCGGTTAACGGTTATCCGGCCATTTATCGTTATCGAATTATGACCGCAAGATTTTATTTTGTGAATACAAGATTTTTTCCGGAAAGAAAAATATTCATTTAATTTCAAAAATTTCCTATCGTTCTTAATTATGACGAATATAATATCGATTTTTTAAAAATACGGAACGATTTGAATTATTATAGATTTGTATTAATATAATATGTATTAAGAGAAAAGATTTTTTTATAAATATATTATTCTCTTTTTTTTTTATCTCTGATGAAAATTTGATAAAGACTACGTTTATATGACATCGTTAATCAGGTTTAGTAATATTCGTAGTCATGGATGTATCCAGGAGAAAGTTTAATCCCCCTGCAATTTTTTTATTTACTTTTTCATTTTTAATGATAAAAAAATAAATTATAAAAAATAAATAAAAAAAGTAATAAAAAATAATTTTTGATTGATGAGTAAATTTTTTATTGTCAATAAAGTTATTTTTCCTTTATTGTGATCATGTAATTTTCAAAATTTCTAATAGTTAAAACTTTAATAGAATAATGTCCGATAAATAAAGAAAATGTTTCGAACTGAAAACCAAAATATAAAGTGAGATATTAATGAATACTCTACAACTATATATAATGTTTTTAATAACTATATTTTATATATTTTCGTCAGGAAAAAAAGCAAAAAGTTATGATTAATAAAACCTAATATTTTTCTTATTTAAAATCAAAATCGAGAAAGAGACAATCTAAGTTCTAAAATATCCAAAAAAGCAATTCATTAATACAAAAAATTCTGTTTATGTAATAATAGAATTCCTAAAAATCTCTCTTTCTTCCAAACATATTCTCGATACCGGATTTGTATGCCATTGAAAATTTATTAAATTTAACACATTTCACATATCCCAAATCATCTATTCAAATAAATAAACAAACCGTAGAAGTATATTTTTTTCTGTAAAATTAACATTTATAATATGTTAAATCAATACACATTTTATTCATTCATTATCTTAGAATTTACGTTTGAAATTACAACAATTTTTTATGTAATTTGTTCACGTACACAATACAATAATAAACTCATAAACTTACGTTAAATTAACACTCGAATATGTTAAAAAATTCAACACAACCTGTTAACACAGAATGTGAGTGGACCGTTTCCAACACAAATACCCAATTTTTTTTTACTATGTAGCCAAATCCCGTTGTTCTATCAATTTCAATTTATACGTATATAATATATATATATATATCCTAAAAATTATTGCTATTTCCACCCTTCATCCAAACCTAACATCACAAATAAATCCAAGAACGTGAGAAGTGTAGCCTCCCGCTATTCTTTATATTCTCTTTAAAACACCTATTGAGGCTCATAAATGTGAGAGGCAGCGATCTTTGTCTCTGTCTTTGTTTCTCTTTCTCACACTCTGGTAGATGATCGAACAGGGAGTCGAGGTAGACGGGGGAGGGGTCTAGGGGAATGGTGTCCTCAGGGACGTCCGGGCACCCTTCCAGTTCCCGATTGCTCCCCTCGTCTGTCTCCCCTGGTCCCCGCTGGCTCCTTCTCCCTCTCTCTCTCTCTCTCTCTCTCAGCCTCCTCTACCCCCCGTTGGGATAAACAGATTAGGTAACTACGTGATAAGTCGGTAAGTGGGTTCCCTCGGCCCACGGTCCAGACCCACCGACATTCGCTCTAACATCTAACTACCTCGTTAGCGTCATTAGTAACGGTCGGGGTGTCATTAGATTTCGTTCTCTACGTGTAGTTTTTCCACGGGTCCACCACTGTCCCTCCCTTCTCTTGGGCTGCCTTCGAAACCTGCATTTCGCAAGTGCAACGGATACGGACGATCATGGAGGATCGTGACCCGCGTTTGGAATAATTTTGAGTCGCTCGTCAGCATGTCTATGTGTGTGAAAATGTGAAGTCAAAGATGGAGCAAGTGAAATTGCAGCTATTTTACATCAATTTGAGTCCGATTCGATCTTTTCCCGAAAACAAGATTCTACGTAAAGAATATTTTTTATTTTCCCGATTTATCATTTCATATTAAATTTCTGTTATATTTTAACTTATTTAAATTGATTTATAAAAATCTGATTACACGTACCAATGTCCATGCCATAATATTGTACAAAAGATTTAAAGAAATAAAAAGGTAAAGGCTGTACGCATGAGAGAATGAAATCCAGTAGCTTTAGGCAATGATTTCTACATTAAAAGTACATTAAATCCTATTCAGAAAAGATGTGCTACTTCTCGTAAGAAACACACGTGAATAAATGATGTTTCATGCTTTCCATGCGCGAAAAATTGATCGTCTCCCTTTGCGTTTTCTGTAAGGCAAACAAGTGTCAACAAAACGACAAAGTGTGTCACGAAAAGAAGATGCAAGCGAGTCCCAAGCACGAAAGTCGCCAGGTTTCCTTCCCCTCCTCCCCCTCTCTCTCTCCCTCTCTTTCTCTCTCTTCCATACCCGGGATGCTACTAATAAATTGGATCAGACCGACTCCCGATGAGTTGTACGAGTTGTCTGGATCCGGGCTTTACTTCGGACCGACTCTAATCTAAGATCTTGAGTGGATTTCAGTTTGGGGCATCGGCAAATTTATTTAGCCGCCGCGGTCGACGCCCGATTCACTTCTCTATCTTTGTTTTATTTTGCAGCCGCAGCAACAACGACAGTCGTTGCTTATCGATATGACAAGAATGTGGATCAAGAATTTTTACATGTCGTGGTGTATTTCACAGGATCACTGTACAGCTTCGTGGTTCATTAATTTGACATTACGCACGAAATTTCTCTTCTATCTTCTAAAATCGAATTGTTTATTCGAAACGTTTAAAAGATTTCGACATATGCGTAAAATGTGTGAATAAATTGAAGGGCTTCCACAAAGTTTTCCCACAAAACTTGAATAAATTCATTAAAAAATATCTGGGCTACGGCATCAAGTCATTCTCTATCAATATCGCTATATAGTGATCAATTTTATTCTGACAAAAATTAAATGGGAAATATAAGATCGATGAGTTTAACACTTGTAAAGGATGTTTTTGTTAAGATCAATTTGTAAACTTTTATAAGTAAAACAATAATTGCTTCGTACTTTAAATAATATTACTTTCTTCGTTTTTATTATTTCCATACAACACATTTTATCCGAAAGACATCCTTGAGATATTCTTAAACTTTTCAGGAATGTCCTGTGGACGTCTTTAGAATGTCTTTGGGGCATCCGTTGAAGGTATGAGTTATATGTGCTGTATGGATTATTAATATTATGAAAAAAATACGTGTGTATAACATATACTGTTGGAAACTTTTTTTTTATGTCGAATATAACACATTTTACATTTCCCAAACCGTCCACCCCAATTTTTGTGTTTATTTAATATAAGATAAATACCAGAAAACAGGACAAATCTCATGTAAAAAAATGATCAAGAAAAAGATAATCCTAACACAGTTTGTAAACAAACTGTGGAAGTATATTTTTTTAGTATAATTAACATTTGTGACATGTTAAATTAACACGTATTTCATTTATTCATCTTAGAATTTACGCTTTAAAATACATTATTTTTCACTCACTCATAAATTGTGTCATTTTGACACTAAAAAACGTTGAATATCAATTTAATACAAAAATTTAAATGACATAATCACGTTATGTTAAATTAACATTCGAATATGTTAAAAAATTCAACACAAACAGTTAACAGAAACGTGAGTTTCCAACACAAATGTAATAACGTTCTTTATCGTCTATTATGAAGTAAATAGGTAATGAAACTTTCCACAAGAATCAAAAAAGTCCAGAAATTTTTTATTTTTCTTTTTAAATTCTACGATCCCCAAAATATTAGATAATCCAAACTTGAAACTTTATTCTTATATCTACTCCTATATCTGGAGAAAAATTATCAAATTTTATTTCATCTTATATATACATAACAAACGGTTTGAAGATAAAATTTTTGTGTTACATGAAAATTTAATATTTCATAATTGTTTGGTTTTCCGCGAAAAACCGTTCAATTATATTATCGGATGAAAAGATATACATAATCGTCGCTTCTTAGTTAGATCTACAGTAATTTTCTGGATGGTTATGTGAAAAACGACCGCAATATCATTCGGATATCTATTAAAATAAATCTGTATTGGTACGATAATCGTGCAAGCGGGAGCACGAGCGGAAACAAAGTTTTAAGTGCATCCACGAGTCCGCAACGTCGTTAAACGCCCTGATAAAATACCGGCGGTCCGGGAAGCTCGAATCGTTTATTTTCGCGTGGGTTGGTTTAGAGCGAAAATCCTCGCGGATTCTCATTGATATTAATTTTGCAAACGATACGGGAGATCGCAGCGACCGTAGCGTATAATTGCACGTCCGTGACAGTTATGAAAGTTCAGCGGCATCGAGGCGAAGTATCTCGATGCACGCCTGTGGATGCAACCATGCGACTGTATCGTTGATGGTGCAACACCATCGCGCGTTCGTCGTTATCCCTATCTCGCTTTCCCTCCCCCTCCTCCCCCCCCTCTCTCTCTTTCTGTCGCCGTTATTATCCTCTGTGTCGAGAGGATGAAAGGGAGAGAAAGAACGAAAGAGAGAGAGAGAGAGAGGCGGCATAAAGGGAAGAGAGTAAAAGAGAGGAAGGAGAGGAGACATTGTGCGCGAGTGAAAGAGAGACGGCCGGACGGCGGAGAGAGAGTGGCATGAATTTTTATGAGCTTAGGAAATTAATTTGTGTTTTTCGCTAAGCCCCGGCTTAGCGCCGCGGTAATTAATTGCGCTGATTGCTCTGCATCATTGATGAGCGGTTCCGGCCGCTTCGTAACGTCTGCTCCCACTTCGCGTCTCGTTGTATACGCGCGTATCCGAACGATGCCTTTATCGGCGCTTCACTTTTCGATCCTCCGTGTACGCGATCACAGTTAACCACGTTTCGCTCAACATTTTTAATTAACATGCTCTGTCTGCTCGTATAATTGCAGTGGCGAAATAAAATGTGCGTGCTGCTGTCGTACCGAAGTACAACAGAAAAATAATATAATTGTACATTGATAATCAGTTGTTGAAATATTGAATCGAGCATCGATGATGATACTTGTAAATCTTTTTGTTGCAGTATTTGAATATATTGAGGGTAACATGATAAAATGTGGGACCTTATTTTATTTTTTAGTTATATTCAAATCAATGACGTAGCAAACAATAATTTATTAAAATAATTTTTTAAGTTTAACATAAAACACATTTGAAATGATTAAGACAGTTTACGAAAATTGTTTAGATGAAAATAGATGTGACTATCTAAATATGATGGTAAAGTAAGTCGCTTTATATATTTTTACCCCTTTTTTATCTGAAAATTTTCAGGTTTATTTTAAATAAATTATACTATTAAAAAAGATAGATAGATTATTCCAAAAGATAGAAAATCATAATAGAGAAGATATACTTCTCGATACGAAGAAATTAATTATTACACTTGCTAAATTAAATTCAATTAAAATTGAATTAAGTAAACGAATATGAATGAGCGTACGTCTTTGTTTACTACGTACGGCTCTTATTTTGTGAGTTATAAAATCTGATACAACTTATTTACATTGATAAGCACTAATGTAAACTACCGTGAAAAAGCGAGGAATTATGTTGATCATTTTATTTTGCAATAACGCTTGCCGTATAAATTTGAAAATTCCGCGAGATTGTCAGTAACTCACAAGTTTCTTGAAGTTTCCGAGTTTCGCAAACCCTAGTCAAGCACAGGCAAATATGCGGAGTACCGAACTAAGTTCTCCTGGAACTTTGCAAATTCGAATCTATCAAGAATTAAAAGGTGAAACTTTGTCGAACTCGTCCCTTTGAAAGAAAAATATTTTCTTTATATTGACACAACATATATTATCAATATTAATTACGAAAACGTATTATATAATTAAACTTAATAAAAATTAATTCGACATATTTTTTTTCTTTTATATTCAATCGAATATATTTTTATCTATTATTATATTATATCATTTATTTATTATCATTCGATTCGTTATTATTACTTGTGTGTATCGACAATAGTTCTTTGCAGTTAGAGTTTCAGAAAATAAAATTTGCGCGAAAATTATCATTGTGTTAAGAATTACTAAAAGCGATATTCTAAAAACACTTGACAATTCCTTCCGGATTGCTCGTTACAGATACTAGTTACTCCGCCTATCACCCAGCGCTACACGGAGTTGGCGAGGATTCCTTCGTGCGGAGGAAACAGCGTCGAAACAGGACAACTTTCACCCTTCAGCAACTGGAGGAACTCGAGTCCGCCTTTGCGCAGACTCACTACCCGGACGTCTTTACGAGGGAAGATCTGGCCATGAAAATTAATCTCACGGAAGCCAGAGTGCAGGTGAGTGTAACAATAACAATCGCGGAGAGCTTTCTTTTCATCAAAATCCAATTTTTCAATCCTAATCCACTTGTCCTCCATAATTACATTTCTTAACGATAAATAAGATAAGTATAAGGATTCACCAATGTTTCAAATTAAAAGAAAAATAAAAATGGGATAATGTGAGCCAGAAAATTAATTAGTACGTAAATTTGTTCATATAATAATTTAATAACTGATTATATGCTTCGCAAAAAAACAAAATTCGTATATATTTTGAACTGTAACTTACTTTAAATCTATATAATGGCTCAATAATTTAAAAACAAGTTAAAAGAAAAAGGGCTGCGAGCCGAGCAGAAATTTTACCTATAAACAAATCGGTAGATAAGTAAAGATGTCTTAATAAATTATTATGAGTAAAGTCGATCGAAGATTTTAAAATATACTTCGCATTGTACAACTATAATTGTCGACTTTACATTATATTTTTTATCGTTTAAATTTTATTTTGTGAGCAGTGATAATCGTGATCGGAACGTTTGTTAGCCGGCATGTTATTAAAGTTCATGATAATTTATTAATACATTTCTACCCTTTTTCTTTTAATTTGTTTTTACTTTAAATCATTATTAACGGAAAGAATTAGTATAAAGATAACGCAATTGATATATCCCTTAAATTTCGCAAAATCCTACAACCTCATTAGACTTTTTTCAGATTATGATGTTTCAAGTATACTAAAAGTAGCCGTGTGTGTCGTTGAATTATTATTAACATAATTATTTACTTTTTATTCAATTGTATTTCGTCAGTTCTCGCAAAGTATCTTGCCGCATATAATATAATAATGTCCGTAATCCGATTAAATTACAAAAAAAGATCCATTAGAATAAGGGAGATGAACAAATTCATGGCAGAAGCACTGTGTGCATTATATTTAAGGATATATTAAAACAGGTTACTTGAAAGTATGCTAATCACGTTGTATAATCACGTTTATTCGATAACATGAAAGCACGTGCATTAAAACTTCACAGAATGTTCGCATGCTCGCGTCCGAGCATTGGCAGCAGCGAGCTTAATCTTTTAATGCGTCTCAGCGCATTGAGATTGGATTCCGCGTTTTAATGCGATGAGAAAATTACGCGCGGCAACCCGATAATTTTTTGTCTGCCTTCGTAGCGTTAAGTAGAGAAATTCCGAGAACATTTTTCGCGCTGCATGTTTTCGCTGTAATATTTCATGGAACACACAATAGAACGTATTACCCGCCTACGTATCCATTAGTATCCAAATGATTATATCGCGAAAAAATATGCGTAAACCGGATTTCTGCAATCCAAAGCGGAATTTCGACAATTTTTTTTTCTTTTTTTTTTTTTTAATCGATTTTTGTCCTTTGCCACTCCCGGATTTAAAAAAATTGCCATATTTATAATTTATTCGTACGAAAAATAACGCGCCATATATTTTATGTATGACGTATGCGTACATATGATGTATGTACGCGACATAGATGGGGGAAAACGCGCGAAATTTAGTCAGGATGAAAATATATTTTAGATTCAATAACTGCAGATTTGAAAATTAAAAAGAAAATCTGTAAAAGACGGTAACTATGATCGATTGTCTGCGGCCGTACGGTGTTGCCAGGCGCGCTGACACCCTCGACCTGACGTAATCTTCTGACAGAGTAAGCCGGTAATCTCCGGGATTACTTTGTACTCCTGCAGGCTACGTCCTCACGGCCATATTTACTCACGCCGTTGTAATTCGCGCTGAGAATCCCTGCAGCGTAACAGCGATTCCAGCCTAAAATCCTGTCGGAACATCTGCAGAGGATATCTGATTACCAATGGCGGCTTTTGATTTCTCGACAGACGCCAACCTGCATCTCCGTCGAATTTCAGATGATACGTTTTGACAGCGCCTTTCGCAATTTTCAAGTCAAACGTATCTCGATAATCACACGGGGGAAAAAAAACGATTTTACTGAAACATTCTATTTGGCTAAATATCTAATTTGAGTATAGACGTAGATTTGAAAATAATTTTTGTTGAATCATCAAAATAATTAGGAAATCGAAGCAATGCTGCAAAAAGTTCTAACATTCTGGCAATCAACTTGAGCGTCCTATATAATTATTTTAGTAATCTAATAGAATTACTTTCAAAAATCTATAATAGCTAAATTTTTAGATGCTTGAGCAAAACTGTTCTTTCCGTGTAAGACTCTTATATTCATAGCATTATTAAATCAATTTACTACTATGATTATTTCACGTAATATTTTTAAAAATAATTAATTATTATTTGTTATTTTTTTTAGTATTTGATAAACTGTAGTTAAAGATGTTTAATGATAGTGTATTATGTGATGTCAACAATATAAGTTTCATGGAAAAAGATTAAAACGTCTTTCATACATGAAACTCATAAAATTATTTTTGAAGATTTTTTAATACAATGTTAAAAATTCTATTTATAATCTACATGATCCTTTATTTTTCCTTTTATTTAAGGATATTTTATTCCATTGAAGAAATCACTAATCTTGACTTTTTCTAATTTATCAATCATACCGACCAGTCCTTCAGCAATCTGTAAACATTTTTAAAAAATGTACACGAAAATACTAACACTAAATAGTATTTAATTTTGCCGTTAATAAAATAGTTAATATTTATTTAATCTATTCCAAACGTAATATATAATTTAATTGATACAAAAATGAAGAAAATTTTATTAATTTTATTTTGCATCTTAGTTGAAAAAATTTATCATAAAATTTATAAATAATCATTATATTATTATTTTTTAAATAATTATTATAGCTCGCGTGTCTCCCGAAAGAATCTCGGGCGCTTCGCCCGGCCTCTCATCATTAATATCCTGACTCACGAAGGATCCTCGATCACAAAGTCTAAGAGGCAGCCTGGCGTGCATTGTGCGAATTTACAAGGAGGCTGCAATCTTTACGAGAGAGATACGACAGTGTACACATGACAATGAAAGAGACAGAGGGGTGGCGCGAGGCTGTTGGTCTGGCTGTGACGCAATTACGGCGCAGACTCATTGTTTCATTAGCGAAGACAAAGGGAATCTGGAATAATGGACAAATAGGCGCGTTTACGTAGCGCCCGTCCTCTTCTCCAGGCTCCAATTAGAACCTAACCTCCTAGAGGGGGAAGGGCGGGAGGGAGGGTTGAAGGAGGGTTGGTTGTATCGTCGGGGCACGTACCGTACAACATCCTCACGCGTACATTTCCTCGCACGCAACACTTGTACGCGTACGTACGCCCGTTACACACGGACGTGCGTGTGTACGCGAGGCCGGCAATTACCGGCGTGCGTGAATTAGACGCGTACTCGCACCTGCGCTCGTGCGACGCGCTCTGGACCGTGCATGGATGCTGGACACCGCGATTACGTTTGATCTCTCTCCTATTTTCGGCGATTGGATTTCGCGGAGCTCTTCTCATCTCTTCACGTAGTTGTCCGCGTATCTCCTTTGTAGGAATTGTAAAATGCAGAAAATTTTTTACGTCGCCGTGAAAATCTCGAGAAAAGTAGCTCGCCGGTATATAAAATATTAGTATCTCTATCTCCGCCGATGGTTTTGACAAAAATATTTGAATCCACAAATTGGGTTGGAAATTGAGAAACGAGCGGAAAATTTCTATAAACGTGGATTTATTGAAAGTGGACATTTTTCAATTTACGGGCTGTTGGAAAAAACAGCTTTTCGTGAATTAATCAGTAGTTATCGTTGTCACGCAGCGTTTTAAAAAGCATGTCACACGTGATACGTGCGATCAGTAATCCCGCGACAAAGAGCGACACATTCGTTTAACAAGGGGGTGCGGCCGATTAAAAACGTTTTACGCCCATTATCAACGAATTTCAGATTAAATTTGTATTGGAAAAAAAGTGGAGAGGAGAGAGAGATATATCGCGCAAGGGTGTAAAGGAAAACGACGGTGGTGGTCCCTATACGAGACCGTGGCTTTGTTCCCAGCTATTACTCGTCCTCCGCCGCCCCCTCCTGTAACCCTTAGGATATTATTATATCTCCCCGTCTGTCGCCCCCTCCTCCATCCTCTCGCGATGCTCGAGGTGGCGGTAGAGAGTCGTACCCATCGTATTTATTTTATTAAACCATATCCCGTGCTTCCTCCTGCGAAAGTTCCGCGCTCGAATGTAAGATAATCATTTTCCAGACCCATTACACAGAATAGGATATGCCAATCTTATTAATTCCAGCTCTTTTTACTAAGGACTTTTTGTGAAATTTTTTTTCGTAAAGTCTGTTCTTTCTTCACAATTTAATAGGGTCTTGGCAATAAATATGAGACACAAATTAACGCAAACGTTTTATTATGAATAAATTAAAAAACAGTTTTATTGAAAAAATAATATTTATTTCGATAATATAACTATTTTAATATTTCATTAATCTTTTTTTATCTTTTATTATCGCTTTTTCCAAGAAAATGTAATAAATTGAGGGTGCTTTATACTTATATATATATATTTATGTGCAATATTTTCTTTTCAAAATAACTTTTTTCCTCAAAATCAGGCAAATCCGACGAAATTTGTGCTAATACATTTTTCGATTCAATATCACTATAAAGTGATATAGTATTATATTATAAATGATGCATCGGATGTTCTTTATGATTTTTTCTAATCAACTACTTCAAACAAATAGCTTCAATTACGTTTTACAAGATGTTTATTGAAGCCTTGTACAAAAATTTTCTCGAATTTTCTAGGTACTTTTATTTAAAATTCCAGCTCAAATTAGAGAATTTCTTAATGCAATTTTGAAATCAATTGGAACGTAATACGCAAGTAAACTATACATTGTAAAGAAGACAGGGATTTTTTCACGAAATTGTCTATCTTTTTTTACAATTATAGGGCTGCTAAACTTAAAAGACAGATGTAGAGAAAAGTCACTCACTGCAGTATCAGTAGATTATTCTCTTATGTTTATACTTATCGCCAGAGAAAATGACATAACGACAGCAACTATAAAGGAGACAACTATGCAAGTTTTATATGTATAATTAATGTACATAATTGAATAAACTATTTTTTTGTAATTATTTTACAAGTCTAAAATAGTTTATTCAAGTATGTTACATTACTTCTACAAATAAAATTGTATAATTGTCACCTTTAACTGTTCACACAGTTGCCTATATTTTTTCTAAGTGTGTGCGCGCATGTATTATATTTTATCACCCCGATTTTTTATAAAAATTCGCGAGAATGTACGCAAATATACGTCTATGTGCAAATCATACTTATCGCTAATGAGATTGTTATTTTGTATCATTAAGAAAAAATTATGAAAGGAACAATGTTTTCGAAAAAGAAGATGAAATTTAAATTTAAAAATAAAATTTCAAAAATTTCGAACGGCGATAAAGTTCCATAAAAATTCTTGATTTTCAAGGGTGAAAGAGAAATCCCCTGAAAATTTCAGGTTTCCCTAGGTAGTAAACATTCTGAGTTTTACTATTAGTTGACGTATGTGCACCGAGTGAGGATTCCGCACGAAAACTCGGTTATTGTACATTCATTGTCGAGACGAAAGTCAACGGTGGAGAACCGCTGGGTGTAATAAAGTCTATTTCAGCTGGTATTATGTCAAGTTAGCCTCGTTAGCGGAACTCGAGCTTTTTAAAAAACACTCGGTCGCCGTGGTTGCTGTCGGCTCGTTGAACATGCACGGCGGAAAGTGCCCTCCCCCTCCCCCTCCCCCCAGCCTCCCAACCATCTCTGCCTCAACATCCGCCAACCAGCCTGCCGCACCCTCGTGCTTTTCTCTGCCTCCTCCACCCTTCCTCCCCCTACCCGCACATACAATTATCCTTGCACATTTGCGGACATTGTGGAGTGCCATAGATACGACCGCGTCCTCCTCATTTTTCTCCTATCCATCCACCCCTTCCGTCATTTCTACGACTCGCGAGACTTAACCCTCTCGTCCGCGTGTAATGCATAGTCAGATGACTGAGATGTCGAGAATATTGAATCAGAGAATTATGCAAACTTTCGCGAAGTTGGCTTTTGAGAAGTTTAACTTCCCTGGATGCACGTATATCGTTATATGATATTTATTCATATTTAGCATAATTCAAAAATTGTATTATGAAAAAGACATAAAACATTAAAGGCACGAAATAAAAACGTGGAACAAAAATTGTTAGGTAATATTAAGTGTTAGTACAGATATTTAAAAATATTTTTATAATATTTACATATCAATTAATGAGTTGGAAATCAACGAATTAAGTATCAGCAATATATATATATAATGTATGTTTTTTTTCACGCAAGAAGAGTTCCTCGATCTATTAAAAAGAATTAATTTCGTAACTTTATTAATAAAACAGTAACCCCCACATCAAAGTTACGCTTCCTATTTTATTGATTTTCCAAAGCTCAAGCGTAACGTTAATCTATGCTAACCGCGACGATCGTAACTTGCAGGTGTGGTTCCAAAATCGGCGGGCGAAATGGCGTAAGAGCGAGCGATTGAAGGAGGAGCAACGCAAACGCGAGGGTGGAAACAGCGGTGGTGGCGGCAGCGGCGGCGGTGGTAACGGCGGTGGCGGTAACGTGGAATCCTCCGCTTTGGCCGCACCAACGTCTTCATCGGCGGCGGGGGGGGGGGCGGCGGCCCCAGGAGCCCCAGCACGACTTCCGCCTCGGTCAGTCCCCGCCCCCAGCCGAGTCAGCCGTCTTTAGGTGGCGTCTCGACGCCACCGCCGACCCCTATAAGAGCGCCGCCGCCGCCATCGAGCACCGTGGGGGGCCTCGGACCACCCGCTGAGAGGTGAGCTCTTAGCTTCGTTTGTATTTACGTCTTTAGGAAATATCTTCCTCCTTCCTGACTATTTCCCTCCCCCCCCTTCCCCTCTGCTCACCCTGCCTAGGTTCCTCCCAACCCCTTATAAACTCTCGGACGATTTCAACGAGTAAGTGGGTGCAAGCGCCGCTGAACACCGCCGGCCGGATGCTCGATACGCGCCATTAAACCACTCTTCGTGACGGCATCGCTGGCCCCGACGCCCGCCGGTTAAGCCGCTTCTTCTCTCGGTAACTCTTCCCCTCCCCCTCTTTCCTCCCCTCCGCCTCCTCACCTCTTCCGCGCGTCGCCGTCATAGCCACTCGTATAATCGCGATAATCGTCGCCTCGTTAAACTGCAGCTTCCAACGGGAGCCAGCGACGGCGGCGGGGGCGACAAAGCGATGCGCACCACTTTTCGCTCATGGACTTTTGTCTCGTGAAACTAAATGGCGTCTTACCATTTACGACTCGCATACGACAGAAAGAAGCGTCGACATGACGCTGCTAAAGAGTTTGCGACGGAAAAAGGCTAAAGAACTGGCGACAATTTCCCGCGGGGATTTCACATACGTAGTTACGGACAAGTATTGTAGATTAAAACGTTTAGAAGTTATATCGATTTGAATATGCAGATTGTTAGTCACATTAGTACAGATTTGACCGAAAGTATAAAACACCCCCGTAAATTGACCGAATGAACGTTTTATATCTGACGAAAAATAAATTAAAGAACAGTTTTGAAAAATCATATTTATTTTTATAATAACTTTAACAATTTTTTTTTTGTCAGTTTTCCTTTGAAAATTTTACTAGCACTTTGTCCAAGAAAATGCAATAAACTGAGGATGCTTTATACTTATGGCCGAGGCTGTAAATATAACGTTGCGCGTTTCCGAAGGATATAATCATTATACGTTTCTTTCATCTGTGAATTTTTCCATAATTTGATACACATTCTAATAATAAATGTCATAAATAATAATTTAAATAAATAATTTTTCACATTAAAACGCATTTCGATACTTTTCTTCCGTTCTACAAAAATACTTGTTTATGTAAATACCTATTATATTTGCATTATCAATGTTTGAGATATCATAGAGGAGAGTTCAACGTGTGTGTGCACGGAAAATCTAGAAAAATATTTGTACCGCATAAAATATTTCTACGAGAGACGCGTTTCATCGGCCGTACGTAGGTATAAGGGGAGCCGGAGAAACGTACGTCCGAAGAATCGGAAAGGGGCGATTTATCCCGCTCGCGATCCTCTCTTTCCGCGGGGACGGGGAGCACATTCGTTTATAATCCCCGAGACGACGACAGTGGGGATCTCTCTGCGGATCGACGTGGAGGTCGGGAACAAAAAATGCCGAAAAACACGCGTGGCAGACACGCGTGATAGACGTAATGCTCGCGAGAGGAGGGTGTGCGTTAGATGTCGACAAGACGACGGAGTGGCTTTGAGGCAGCCGGGGGGGGGGGGGGACTGAGGGGGTCGAGAAAGGGGACCTGGTGGGCCTGGTACCAGGGTCGAGGGAAAAGGTAAAGAAGAAACGGCAGGAAGATACTCCTTCGCCGTCCCCGCAGTTGTAATTTATTTAAAACCGCTCGCCGTAAATATATCCTTATCATTTATTCAGAGGAACGGCGAAGCTCCTGCCGGGGGTCGCGGATGGAGAGGAGAGGTGGATGGGGGGAAGGGCGGAGGGGAGGGAGGGTGTAAGCTCTGCGTTCCTTCTTACCTTGGCTCTACCTAGCTACCGTAAGAGCGACTGACTTCGTGCTGTATAGGGGCGGATCCACGTCGCAAAGACATTGTGTCTCGTCGCTAGATCACTCTTTTGTCTCACAATTCTCTTGGAAGGTTGCGTAAGAATTGGTTATGCGTTGCTCTTGTTAACTCAATGAAAAGTAGGTATTTTGTCTTGGAAATTGCGCCCATGTATTCTACTTCGATTAATAAAACGCAAGCTTACGCATCGAAAGATCAACTCATTATCAGCTAAAATGATAAAGGAACTATTATATAAATGTAGTCGCTCTAACGATTGCGCGATTGTGATTAGCGATTGGCAAGTAGTTTTCGACCAGTTATCGATTGCTCTAACTGGTTGTAAAGTAATCATCAATCACCAATCACAATCACACAATCGGTATAGCGTGAGTATTTCGATTTAAAACAGTTCGCCACTCAAGCAGAATAACAGAATATAATGACGTTAAAATAACGTTATAATAAATCGTATCTAATAAGATTATTAAAAGTGATTTTTAGTAATCATTTTGAAGTCTTTTTTATGCCATTTTGATATTATGACGATGTTTTTTTTTTTTGGGGGGGGGGGAGGAGTTATTTTATTGAGAGATTGAAATGTGTATTTAAAAAATTGTTAATCGCAATGTGTATTAACGATATCATATCTAATAATATATGCAGCTCAGAATCGTTTCCTGTCACTTTTATTACTCGTTTTAACTCCACGCTATATTCACTACCGGTGGAGCTGAGAGCGTTTAATGTTATTGAATTTTAAATAAAGATTTTAATGGAGTCTTATTACGCGGGAAACGCGACCTCGTCTAGGTAATATCGTAGTTATCGACGTCATTACTTATCTAGAAGCGATTATAGGATAAAAAACTAGATATACCTAAGTAAAATGGAGCACATAAATATTAAATAAAATAACTAAAGTGATCACACGTATATGTTCGACTGACTAACAGGCTGAAAATTCGTATGGATGAAAAAGGCGGACGAAAGTAAAAGATACGAGATAGAAAAAAATATTTTAAATTACGAGCTACAAAGCTAACTTTTATTTTTTACTTTTTATTTTTTTAGAAGAGCAAGAGAGAGAGAGAGAGAGAATTTAAAAAAAATTGCAATATATAGTAAATACGAAAGTATTCGTATATAAGGAAGATTTTTATTTAAGAAGCCTTATTTGTAAAAAATGAACATTAATTAGCAATTTATTAACAATATGCGTACATTTCTTAATATAAACAAAAAATCTTCGCGAAAATAACCATTATTTGTGATCTTAGGAGACAAACTTTTGAACAAATATTTTTTGTGCGCCCAAATAATACAATTTTTCATTTTCACTTATTATTAAAATAGTATAATATATATATTTCTATTATTGCACATCATTTTAGATAAAATAACTTTGAGAAATATAATTCTATTTTATTCTGTTAACAAATTACTAATTAATATTTACTTACTAAAAATAAACTTTTTAAAAAAAGGTAGCCTTTACTTAATATATAATTTGTTTTTGTATTAATAAAATGATAAAATTAAAAATACGAGTAATTAATCAAGGTTCAATTTTATAAAGGAAGATACGGTTGGCACAACATTAATTATCTAAAAATTTCATTCCGTCTCAAAACTGTTGCCTAAAATTATTGCCCGTAGCATTCCTTTTTTTCCTTTTGCAACAATAATTTTTTTATCCAAAGGCGCGAGGAGATGCTAGTCATCTTTGCGAGATTCTTTGCGATAATCTGCGTCATTCCAGCCGTCACCCTTCCATCCACCGTGACTCGGCATCGTAACTTAGTGCCTAGCAAACGCGTCGATAAAATAGGGGGATGTACTAAGCTACTAAGTCGCGCTTCGTCCATCACGCGAGCAGTACCAGGGTGCACGTAGGTATGCATTTGCATGTGTGTGCGTGGCAAGTAAACGAGCGCGCACGTAGAGCAAGGTGCACGGTAGACTACGCGGCTAATTGCCGCTAATTATCGCGCTTACCGCGGTTCGGCTCTTCCTCTCGCCGCCACCACCGTCGCCGTCTCCGTCGCCCTCCGCGCGTCGCCGCGGTTTGCCACCCCTACCCGCCCTTTTCGCCCTTAAGCCCGATACAACCCCCTCCCCCGGGCAACCACCTGAAATCCGTTACTCTGGCCTGCCGACGAACTGCGTCTTTCCTACTCTCGCCGCCCATCCCACTAACGACCTAAATGCCGTGGGCTGTCTGCCCTAACTCCTACCCACCCCCACGCGTCCTCCGCCATCCTTCCCTCCTTCTCTCGCCCCCGATCTCAGGCTCCGACTCGAGTACCGACTCGAGCTCGTTACATTAATTAAACAATATTTGCGATTAATATTTGAGATAATCATCAGCGCCTCAAAGCAGCCTCCGCTCCTCTCGGAGGATGCGGAACATCACGCGTGCTAATCGGATTAGCGCTTGTGAGGCTGCGGCTTCTCTCTCTCTCTCTCTCTCTCTCTCTCTCTCTCTCTCCCCATCTATCTATCTAACTATCCATCTTTCTCCCTCTCTACTCCATCCGTTCCCGTCTTTCTCTTGCACTTCATTCGCGTCTGCTTGTCTGTCTCTCGCTTTCGCTACACTGCACTGATACGCCGGTAGTTGGAATCGCGCGAAATTGCGACGTCCTTTTGGCGATAATCGTGCCAGTGCTTGAAATAGCGTTAATTCGCGGACGAGTTAAGGATCGTTTCCGGCGTGACGATTGAGACGTTTCTATGTCTACGTGTATCAGTGCGCGTCAATTGTGCTATTGCCGTTAATTTAAGAAATTACGAATTAAAGAAGAGAAGTTAATAGTTTCTTATCATTTTTTGAAACAAAAACTATGTCGCACTTTAGAAGTAAATAGGAGACAGCTTTGTTCCATCTTAGAAATTTTTACGTATTTCTTTAGCTACACATATTTTTTAACAAAATGAAAAAATTATGAAAACATGTTTTCATAGACTTTTCTTTATTGTACCTTGAATGTAATACGTACAACAAAGTTTAATAGCGATTTAGAACTTGAATAGAAAATTATTTCAATAAGAAATAGATATGTTTTTAAAAAAATAATTAAGATAAAATGAGAAAATTTTCATTTAAACTATAAAATTGTTATACAGAGTGTCTCATAATTACCGCATTTTTTCTTAGAACGTATTCTTGAGGTAATTTTGAGACGAAAATCCTAATACAAAAATGTCGAGGCTATAATAGGTTTTAACTTATAATTGGTTAAAGATAGTGTGCAATTTGAAACCTATTATAGTCTCGATATTTTTGTATTAGGATTTTCATCTCAAAATTACCTCAAGAATATATCCTTAAGAGGAAATGAGGTGAGACACCCTGTATATGTAACATTTATTTTTATACAGAAAATCCAATCCCAGTAATTTTTTTATAGAAACTGTATACGTCCTTAATAAGGGAATTTATCGAACCATTGCACTCTACATTTTTGCACTAAAAAAAATTTTCTACATCTATATGTATAAGACTATTAAGATTTTTGGTGAAATGAGAACATAGCAACACTTTAATGCAGCAAGAAGTAATTTCTATCCCCTTGTCAGTTTCATCCAGAACAGCGATCCTAATATCGAATAGGAGAAAAGCTCATACTCTAAACTAAGTTTAAATTAAAAAATCAAGTTTATACTTTGTCATATACTTACGTTCCCCATATTTATATTCATTTTTTCCTCTCGTCAAACTTTCAGCACCACGGGGATAGGCGCAGGCTTCAGGCCGGTGGAACCACCAACGTCCCTTTTCTTCTCGCCTCATCTGGCCGCCCAGTTCTCGCCACCGCTCTTCGGTAATAAAGTTGTCAGCAGCGCGTCGACATCGTTGACCTCGACGACGCCATCGTTATGGACGACCAGCGAGCAGCATCGGCCGAGCAGCCTTCAAGAAATGTTATCTTGGTCGCCAACCGGCTGGCCCGGTTCTATCTGTGGCTGTTGCAAACCCGGTACCGGCGGCACCGGCACCACTGATCTCCATCGAAGTAACAGTCTAGCCGAGCTCCGAAGAAAAGCTCAGGAACACTCGACCGCCTCGGCTCTCCTCGGTGGTCTCGCCGGCTTCCCCGGAGGGCTACCCCTGCCTCTTCCCTTGCCGCTGCTGCCACCCTTGTTGGGCCTCTCCAGGCGACCGGAGCACCATCATCATCATCACCTTCCCGGCGTGGTGCATCAGATACAACCCACTACCAAAGAAGATCCCTAGGATCGCCTCCACAAATGTCGGAATCGTCTCGTAAACGCAAGATATAAATCTCAAAGAGATATTCTGCGCGTATCGGATGGTTGCAAAGTCGAAGCTAGACAGCGATATAACAATCTCGGTGAGTTCGGATCTCGATGCTATTTAGAAGCTGAAGAATGTTATATATGAAGAATGTTACAAATATAGAATGTTATAAATATATATATAGAATGTTATACGTTCTGTGTTCTTTCATATATGGAGACTTATTTTTCTAACTCCTTTAAAGTAAATATTACCGAAAGAAATGATCTTTTCTATTAGATTTTATTTTGTAACTCATAGTCCCATCCTTCGAGTCGTTGATTTCATTGAATTAAGAATTTTAAGTTTTCCGAAAGTTTACACATCAGCGTCGAAAATTGAACTCATCGATGTTATACCATTAATCTTTGTAAATGCTTTCCTTATTATAATTACATTTTAATCTCCTGGTATTTTTTTTTAAACGGAAAAATGCTTTTCTGAGTTTCGCCGTTGTGATAGTTCAAGCAAGTTTAAGGGTCTCAATTTCGGAAGACGACGAAGAATTAACGAACCGCAATGTTACAAGGTGGTAACTTTGGCTTGGTAAGGCGGCTCGCGCAAACACTGCAAATTGTATTCATATTGTCTTCGATTGTGACTTGTTAAAGTAAACATGGCGCGAATCCTGTTAAGTAACTTGCGCAATCTTGATAGAAAACTTATTTTAGCTCATATAATACTTAGTTAATTTTTAGAAGAGAGAAGTTTTCGTTTGCAACAAATTTCACAATCAACTTCATTTTTAACTATACGTAAGACAGGATCGGTTTTATAAAGTTCCGTAAAGTGTAAAGCACTGTTTAATTTGCATTTTTTTTTTCACTTTAAAAGTTACCAATTGATTATTTACTATTATTCTCGATGTTTCCCGGCTCTCTATCGTTTCGGATTTTGATAAAAATGGGAAACAAACAAGATACCATTAATACTCATTGCATATGCAATAAACCGTTGAATAATGGAGCACTATCAATTTGCAGATTACTTTGTTATATCCGCGAACGTGATGTAAATAGGCGAGGTGCATTACAATAATCTTCTGTAGTATTCTCAGACACATAAACCGTTTTCTCACATATGTAATCAGCAATAGCGTCTAAAATCTTCATATTACGCAGAATTTCTATTTTATTTATTGCCTTAACTTGCGACCTCCAGACACGTTTGTATCGCCACTATTCACTATTTACAACAGTAACGAAAAATCATTAAGTTCCATGTGTATCGTAAAATGTTTGACAAAATCCGTTAATCACAGCGAAGAGTATACTAATTACATTATACAATTCTGTGAGAAGGGGACGTATTTCGGACTGACTTTTTCAAATGAATTTGGAATGTCAATACGTCGCGATACACATTTGTATTGTACATACGTAACTGAGAATAAATGCGGCGAGAACGGGAACGAGAACGACGCGCAATCGCGTCGGGACCTGCGAAGATGTATAGCAAAGTGTGTTTACAAATGGTTTCGTTTCCTTCCACGCGAGTATAAGAAGACGCGACGGACCAACACGTGCCTGATGCGCTGTATATTCAATTGCTCGATACGCTCGACCAGTCGATTCGTTCAAGCCACGCGGACAGGCTCGAGTGTGCATTCATCATCAAATTCCTACGAGCGGGAATCGAAATCGATATAATCTCGGTTCGGTTTTCGATATTGCTGTCAGAAAGAGGAGAGGAAAATGTCGGATGTTTCGGATACTTGTCGAATTCAATTGATCTCACGGAGATTATATGGGTTTTAATACCCGGCCCACAGATATTAAAGCGAAGAAAATTCGTTTCGAGTTGGCTAACTACTCTTATATGCCTTAAAAATCGTCGATCGGCCGGCAATATTAACCGGATTTCAAATCTTTGCTACGTTTGCCGAGTATCGTAATTCATCAAATAAAATCCGGCGCAGAAATAAAAGAGAGAGAGAGAGAGAGAGAGAGAGAGAGAGAGAGAGAGAGAGAGAGAAGCGCCAAGTGTGAAAGAGAAGGCGAAATTACTGCACGGATTTAGTTTGATAATTACGACGAGATAATTTCGACGAGATAACGATAATTACATTTATGTCGTAAATCCCTCTGAATTTTTCGCGAAGCGAAAAGCGTAGAAGCGAAACGGACGTAGCTGTTTGTAGAGACCTGTATATTACCTCCCGATAAATAGTCAGTGCTAATCAAAGATAGTCTAATGAAAGGTATAGTGTAAGGTAGCGATTAACTGTGTAGTCAGAACTGTGGTAGCGATAATAAACTTGTTCTCTCATGTGATGAATCCTGTGTGTATAAATCATTCATTCGCATAAATTATCTTGTAGCTGTCCCTCATATATATATATATATATATATATACACACGCGAGTTCACAAGTATTCGAATTCAGTTATCCCGCATTTCGTTCCACCGTCCGATTTTCCCATCCCGAAAATTCCGATTCCATAACTTATTTTCCAGCGTGAGATTGCATATCGCTGATATCGGCCCCGCGCGATTCGATCTCGGTGCAATAAGTTCTCTATTCTCGCGCGTCCGCATCAAGAATCGCTCCTTCGATCCCATATAGACAAATAATTGTGCCATAACTGAGAATAGGCGAGGATCGAGTAAAGACACAGGAGGTAGAAGAAATAATGCAAGAAGAAGAAGAGAGAAAAGGCGCAAGCTTCAGACGCGGAAGTAGAATCGCAGTGGAAGAGCGAGAGAAGGTAAAGGGGGGAGGGGGAGGGGGGCGAGTCGGTGAAGGCAACGGCAAGGGCCGAAGGGAGGACAGAGGGTGAAGAAGGGGGAGGAGGGGGGAAGGGGAGTGTTGGCAATCAATGCTCCTCATAAGAAAAGCTCGCCCTCTCTTATGGGATCAACCCTCCTCGAGGGTACATGCCGAGTCTTCTCGCGGGGTAAAAAGAAAGGAGAGAAAACGCGCGCGGAGGGGTAGGCGTAGAAGAAGGTGGAGGATGAGAAAGAGACGAGGGAGGATGA